ATTCCCTGCCCCCCTCCCCCTCCCACCTCCACTGCAGCAGGAAAAGCAGTGGCAGGGGGGAAAGCAGCAGCAAGGAGGTAGGCAATTTTGGGGGAGTCAAGTCACCTGACCCCTTCCTCTTGCCCCCCTGCACCTTGCTACCTGGTGCCCATCCACACCCCCTGCCCCCATGGTGATTGCATTCCCCCCCTGCACCCCGACTGCCTGCTGCCCTGTTGACTCTCTCCCCCTCCTCCCTGTGCCTGTGCCCCTTAGCACCTGCCTCCCCACTTGCCCCCTTTTGCTTTCCTCCTCCCCACCTACGGCATACTTATCTCCCCCTCCCAATGCCTTCTACCCTCAGTTGTGGCTTCAGCCCTGCTCCAGCCTGCAAATATTGAGCACATGGTAGCTCCAGCCTCAACCCAGCAAGGCATCAGTGACTGCAGCAGCAGCTTCAACTCAGCCCAACCTGAGTCAAAGTCAAAGCTACTGCCACCACCATTGCATCTACCTGTCTGAGCAGGGGCTGGTGCCACCACGTGTTCCATGCCCCTAGCCAAAGCAGGGCCAGAGCCACAACTGAGGGTAAACAGGGGCAGGGAAGACAGTAGGATGAGGGAGGCAAGAGGTGCAGAGGCAGTGGGGTGCAGACAGGGGGTAGGGGCTTGGGCTCCAACTCCCACTGTGAGCTTGGGTCTGGCCTGGACCCGGAGCAAGAGCCACAGCTGCCACTTGCCCCACCACCTTGTACTCAAATCCAAGACAAGCTCCTCCCCCATATCATATGGGGAGAATAAACCTCATCTTGGATCCAAGTAAATATGGTAATCTGTTTCTTATTTCACATTTATTAGTCTCCTATGACTCAACTTGCAGTGACGTGGTGCATTCTATTAGTACACTAGGCCTAGTGTTCCAGCCAAAGAATCTCAATAGCATATGGTAGCCAGCCAAAGAATTAGATGTTGGGGAAATGCTTTCCTTATAACAGAGATTATTTGGCATCTAGGCCCTAAACACTTAAGTACATTTTGGTTCACGTTTTGAAACAAAAAGACCTTAGATGCACCTTAGATGTCAACTTTGAGGGGCTGGTCAAGATCCTGAACATAAATGTTGTAACCTTAGGGGTTATTGCCTGAAAATTACTTTTCCCTCAAATGTCATGTAATTCTACCATGGCCTCCTTCAGCTCCATGTATATATTTTATAAAAGTTGCATAGGCATTTCCATTCAGCCAATTTTAATTTATGTACTAACATTAATATAACATTTTCATACAACTCTAGAACTGCTCATCCAATTCATGAGTTAAGAGGGCAAAGTAGGGGTGCACCAATAAAGATTTTCTTGGCCAATACCAAGAGCTGATTATTAACCAGCCGTATTGGCCGATACTGATCCCATAACCAATTTGGTTGCATATGACACCGGAGACTGCTGGAGCTCACCCAAAAAAAGGGTTTATTTTAAAGTAGGTCAGTACTTTAAAATGTACTGACATAAATAAACCTTTTTTCTTTTCTTTTCGGCATCCTCCAGCTATCAGTGCCCTGGCACTTAAAAATAGCGATGTGGGTGCTTAAACTAAAGCTTGTTGAATGAGCTTTAGACCAAGTGCTGCTGCCACCATTTTTAAGCTTGGGGACGCTTTTAAGTGGGCAGAGCAGAGCAGGCTGAGGCGGATGTAGGATTCCCTCTGTGGGCTCAGGGCTCTCTGCTCTACTGCCTTTGCCCTGGGAGCCCCATGCCAACTGTGTTTCTCCTGCCTGGCAGCGAGAGGCACAACTCGCCATCCCCATTGCTGCCAGGTGGGCAGCAGATGTGCAGCTAGCGGGGGACTCCCAAGGGAAACACAGCAGAGCAGAGAGCCCTGACTCCACAGTGAGCAGCCTGCATCCGCCCCATGCACAAATCTAGGGGAGCACATGCCCCCCTCCGTGTATCTACCAGGGGGTGCATGCAGTGGCAGGGAGCTGCCCCTCTCCCCTGGACAAGCCCATAGCTCCATCCCGCTCCCCACCCTGGCCCCAGATCCCATGCTCAGCCCTGGCTGAGCAGCGCCCCAGCTCCTGCCCCACTGACTCCTTCAGTGTGGGGGCCTTGATGTGCCCCCCCCACACCCTTTCTCCTCCATAGACTTACCTGCAGGGAGCTGCTCTCTACACTGCTTGGCTGTTTTCTTGGCCATGTGAATGCATGTGGCCATGGACATGCACACAGCACCCCCTGCGTCTTGCTCCTGGCAGCCCCAGGCAGGATCTCTTGCAGGCTAGAATACTGCCCACCTGCATGGGGAAACCCACCATTTCCTGAGGGAACCCAAGCATCTGGGGGCCCTAGCCAGATGGCATAAATAATTATATTTATCGGAGAACATTATCAGCTACAGTGGCCAAAAAAAGTCGATAGCTGATAATGTAAATTGCCCATTTATCAGTGGTGATCTGATATGCAACCGATATATCAGTGCACCTCTAAAGCAAAAAAGGTAATTTTCTGGACAAGTCTGAACTGCCTTTACAGGATGAAAGACACAGGGCCAAAAGTAGCAGGTAGAGGGACAGCAGTTTCAAAAGGGAAACTATAAGGAAACACATTTTAAAATGTGTTAAGAGTGGTATGATAATACTTTGATCCAGACTATGTCCAAGTGGCTGGATAATGATTTTCTTAGTATGAAACACATACAAGAAAAATACTGACTTTCATTTCCCTTACTTCTGTAACCTTATTTAAATTAGAGCTTTTCTCTTCTTCCTTGCAGGTGTGAGCTCACTTATAAATCTCTTAAGCTCAGCCCAGGATGAGGACCAACCAAAGCTCAACATCTTACTTTGTGAAGCTGTTGTAGCTGTTTATTTAAGTCTCCTAATACATGCCCTTGCTACTAATTCTTGCAATGAACTATTTCGACTAGCAGCCCATCCCCTAAACAGTCGAATGTGGGCTGCTGTCTTTGGAGGAGGAGTGAAACTTGTTGTGAAACCTCGAAGACAATCAGAAAATATTCCAGGTATGTTATTTGGGTTCCTTAAACTTTATAAGGATCACGTGCATTTTTGTAATTTTAGAAAAAGATAAATGTTCAAATTCTCTTTTTATTTTATTTTTTTAAGAGTCCAAGTACATTGTTTAAAAATGAATTTTAAATTCAGGTTATATCCTAGCATGTATCCTATCATCAATAACTCCCTATAGAGTAAGGGGCTTTGTAACACTTGTGCCATGCTGAAGAAGTAAACCAGATTACCAGAATTTTTGACATGTGGACTGGCAAGAATCACACTTCTTCTCAAGTGTATTTAAACTTAGAAGAGAGAAAAAGGAAAATACAATTAGTTCTTGAGGTCGAGATTTGACTCCATACTGTCCCTTACAAATTGTGAGTACTATTGCAATATAAATAATACACTTCTTGACTTAATAAAGGGCTTTTATACACATATCTTTTCATCCTGCGATGCACCACAGATACGCCGCTTCAGAGCAGACTCAACTGCAGTTGTATAAGCAGCAAAATGTGTGTCAGCATGAAGAAAATGGCAGTGGTGTGCTTTTCAACTAAAGCACGTCTGATGTGTGTTAGTTCAAAAGTGCACCACCACCATGTTCTCAGTGCTAACATGCATTTCACCACTTATACAACTGTATGCGCCACAGCACCAGGCACTTTTCAAAGCACCCACTGCTGTGGCATGTGCATGTATACAAATGCCCAAAATGTCTTTTACCTAATTTCATAGACATTCAGGCTGGAAGGGACCCTGAAGGAT